AACAAAGCAAAGAACAAGAACCACATGATCCTATCAATTGATGCAGAAAAGGCCTTTGACAAAAATCCAACACCCTTTCCTGATTAAAATACTCAACAAAATGGGATTAGAGGGGAATTTCCTCAACATAGTAAAAATGATATTCGCGAACCTGAGAGTCAACATTGTTCTCAATGGAGAAGAGATTGAAGGCATTCCCACTGAGAACAGGAACTAGGCAAGGATGCCCTCTGTCATCTCTCCTATTCAATATTGTATTGGAAGTCTTAGGGATAGCAATAAGACAAAAGAAGGAAGTAAGAGGTATCCAAACTGGCAAAGAAGAGGTAAAATTCTCTTTCTATGCAGATGATATGATAGTATACTTAGAAAACCCTAAAGACTCAGCAAGAAAACTACTGGTCATAGTTGACCAATTCAGCAAAATGGCAGGATACAAGATCAACATACAAAAATCAGTTAGATTTCTCTACAGTGACAAAGAGGATGCAGAACTGTTAATAGTACGAATAGAAGATGCATTATGCATTAGTGCATATGTAATAGCATTTTCTTTTGCATTCTTCTGCACTTGTGCACCTCCCAGTGTCCTCCTGTATCTTTGTCATGCTGTTTTGCCCTCCCCCTTACTGCCTTTCCCATCACCCACATCCCATCACACAGTGTATGTTTGTACTCATTAGTAACCTAATTCCCCTCCCCCTTGCTTATCTTTGGCAATGATCCAAGAATATATCTTTTTGTTTGTAAACTTTTTCTTGATTTTATTTTTAATAACGGTATTTGCTGAATAAGAGACAGTCTGGGCTCAAGCTTAGAAGGCCTAGTCTATAGTGTAAAGAGACTGCCAAACACAGCCAGAAATGCACAATCTGGAGAGAATAAAATTGATGAATGGGACCTTCTAAATATTATATCCTTGTGCAAAACCAAAAAAAATTTTTCCAACAGAATGAAAAGAAAATCTACTGACTGGGAACAAACATTTGGCAACACCAGCTCAGAGAAGGGTCTCATAACAAAAGTTTACAGACTACTCCTGGGCTTCCACAAGAAAGAGACTGATAACCCAATATCAAAATGGGCAAAAGACATGTAAAGAATTTTCACAGAGAAAGATGGCCAACAGACACATGAAGAAATGCTCCAAATAACTGTCAATAAAAGAGATGAAATTCAAAACCACAATGAGACACCATCTCACTCCAGTAACAGTGACAAAGTTTAACAGGACAGCAAGTAATAAATGTTGGAGAAGATGTGATGAGATAGAAACTGTTATACATTGTTGGTAGGATTGTACAACCACTCTGGAAGTCAGTTTGGTGCTTCCTCAAAAAACTGATCATAAAAAAATAAATAAATAAAAGCTGATCATAGAAATTCCATATGACCCAGCTATTCCACTGCTTATCCTGAGAAAATGAGAACTGAGGCACAGAGACTTGTACATCAATGTTCATAGCAGTTATTCACTTTCTCAAGAACATGAAAACAGCTTAGGTGTACAGAATGGATTGAGATATTGTGGTGCATTCACATATTGGAATAGTATGCAGGAGCAATGATTTTATAAATTATTACCCAACTTGAGCAGTACTGGAGAACATTATGCTGAGTAAACTAATTCAGTTCATAAGGACAAATACTCTATTATTGTAAAATGAGTATGAAGATCCAAGGAGGAATGGGGGGCAGAGGAGTGAGGAAAGGTGAGAAAGGAAGGTTAATCACAGGATTGTACAATCTGATGAGTGGGGGGAGTGGGTGAAAGAAATGGGAAATTTCTGGTGAGAAAAACAATGCATCTGAACTTTGTAAATAAACCAGCACAAAACAAACAAACAAGAATGGTTGCTGGAGAAGGAAGGGCAATCTCCTCCCATGTCATCTACTGCCTCTGAAAACCCACGGGAGAATCAGCAATGAGTCAGTTCTGACTCGATGGCACACAAGATAAAACACAGGTCCTTTTGTGAGTAATGCATTTTACTCAGAACAACGTCCTTCAGATTAGTCATGTACTAAAGTATTTCACGGATTCCTGTTTATTCTGTCTCATGAAACCTTGACTCTTGATTTAGGTTCTCCACTGGTCATGCCTTCCTTTGAGTACAGATGATTTAAGAATTACCAATAGTAAAGAAACTCAGGGAAGAGGGTGAACAGGAACCAGGATTTTTTTTTCTATAATTATATTTTATTAATTTTCATAAACATTTACAGAGATTTTGGGTTTCCATTCATTCATTGTTGCACTATTCTCTCTAC